CTTTTATGTAGTACATCTATTCAATATTAATAAAAAATATCAATTTATATGCTTTATAAAGTTCATAAAGGTTAATGATAATGATAAAATAATTGTCAGAATCGGTCAAATGAATGTGTCGATCAAATGAATGTGTCGGTCAAACAAATATGTCGGTCAAATGATTGTCGGTAAAGTGTTTGTCGATAAAACGATCATGTCGGTAAGATGACTGTCGGTAAAACGAGTGTCGGTTAAATGCACCAGACCCGTTTCAATTGGATGTAGAGTTATCCATAACCATAAAAGAATATACGTTCGTTCCGGATCAGAAAAATTTAAATTTTGTCTTATTTTAAAAATATGCCTTTTATCCGAGTTAGGGACGTAGAGCCCATAAATACTATGTATAAGTTCCCAGCAAAAAAGTAAACTTTTTAATAAATAATATTTATTTTTAGAACTTTTTTCAAAACATAGAAGATTATCGTAAATTTTTACCATTCCCTTACCACTTGAGCATTCATGAAAACTATTGTTATCTTAATGTATTGTTAACTTTTACCATATAATTTTCAAGATACTTAAAGAAATAATTTCCTCTATTTGGTGAAATCATTTCATACTTCGCAAAATTTTAAAATTCGTGGTAACGTAGCGAAAAAGGTAAATATTGTGTGCCTTAATGCAATGACAAATCTGAAAAGTAAGTAATAATTATGGTTAAAAAAATAATATTATTTATTAAATTTTTGAGAGATCCCGGTTAAAAAATTTGATAGAACTTGTTACTTGAATGAAACCAAGAAGTTTCGCAATTTTATTGCTTAACAGGTATTATAATAAAATAAAATTAAAATAAATAAACATTTTTATCACGCTTTGTGGCTCAACATATGAACCGTCCGGTTTTAAAAATACTGAGAAATTGGATGCCATCTGTGTACATACAAGATTTTAGAATTAGATTATAAAAAATTTTTCTTAGTATTAAAAATGATGATTATTTAACTAAAAAGATAAAAAAGACAGCTTTGACTAATATAGCAATGTCCCATAAATCCTTTTTTTTTTTTTTTATCATATCCATTTTCTAAATTTCATAACGTTTAGTGACCTTATTATGGATTGGTCGAGAAAGTTTGTTAAAAGTGTTAAAAGTCTAATTATTTTATATATTAGTACTTTATACTCCATTAAATTATAAATAAAGAAATACTAATTATTGCTTCGCGGCAAATCATATTAATAAATTATACTTTAGCATCATATCGAAACATGGAAAAACAACTTTTATTTGACGTTGAATCTAAATTTTCTGTTGGATTACCATGATCTAGGAATCAAGAAGACAAAAGAGTGACATTGGAGATATCAAATTTATTGGATAAAAGTATTTAGAAAGTTTTGGAATTATCCGCGTTTTTAAGAATATTAATAAATGGAAAATTTGTGTAAAATGTAAATCTTTTTTATAATAATTTCTTATAAAATTAAATTTAACAATTAAATTCTTATTTGATGTATAAATAAGATCGATAGTACGAAAAAAAATATTCGACTTTTGGGAGGTTGCTATTAAAATCACGTTACGGATCATATGATTTTATTATGTTCGTAAAATCGATTTTAATATTTACTGCATAATTCATTTATAACCTCTTTTTGTAAGCTTTATTTGATAGATTAAACTGTCCCTTCTATTATATATGATGTTAGTTTAAACTATTTTAAAATGAAGTAAATAAAAGCAATAAACAAATAAATAGTTTTTTATTCTTCTTCATAATTTGTTACTACAATTAAATGATTAAATTTAAATTAATAAGAATTTATACGATCAAAATTCATAAAGGCAAACTTACCATCTAATTCATCATAGGCATCAAGTTGGATAGAATTGCCAACTTTTGAATCAGGATCAGAATTATTAGTATGCTCTGTAATTATGTCTATATTTATATTTAAAAAAAAATTAATATAAATAATATAAATTATATTATAAAAAAAAAAATTAATGCATATATACTTTTGGATGTTTCATCGTCAATATTTTTTCCAAAGCCCATCTTTAAAAATTTTCTCAATACTTCTTTAATAATTGGTCTTTGCTCAGGTTCCTGTTTCCAACATCTTTTATAAAGTTTTTCGTAATCCTTAGGTGTATCCGCTATAGTAGTTTCACGAGTTTCATGACAAGTAATAGCAATAAGTAGGTCTTGATTATTATCAAACTTATTTTCAAACGGAGGATGTCCGCTAGAAATTTCCCACATCAATACGCCAAAGCTATAAATATCTGAAGGCTTAATATATTGAAAATTTTGATCGTCAAGTATTTGTGGTTCAATATAGGCGGATTTACCAAAAAGTCCAATATGCATTGTGGAATTATTTTCAATTTTTGAATTACCAAAGTCTGTAATTTTGGCATTATCTTCATGAATAACTACATTCTTAGAATGCTAAATTAAAATAAATCATTAATTAATAATGTTACATAACATTTTCCAAATAAAGTAATGAACTGTAATATTTACAAGATCTCTGTGTAAAACATCCTCGTTGTGCAAGTAATTTATTCCATCTGCAATTTGAAAAGCTAATTTTTTTTTATCATCCCAAGTTAACTTTTCAAAATTATTCTCAAGGTAACTTTGAAGATTACCACCATTTGCATATTCCATTACAGAAAAAAGTTCATTTGAGTTTTGATCTATAAACGATTTTTAAATTAGTAATCAAAATTCCTTAAAAACATATAATTAAACTTATTAAATTACCATTACCTTGACTAATACCTAAGAAACGAATAATACGATTACTATAATTAAGGTGCAATTGTATTTTTAACTCATAAATAAATGCGCTTAATTTATCGTCATCACATTTAAATCTACTTGTGTTAATTAATTTTTTACAGGCAACATAATTATTTGTTTTTGACCATGTTGCTTTTATGATACTTCCAAAGCCACCTTCATCAATTGGTTTTAAATCATTTAACTCATCAAAATGTATGACTTTAACCTTATTATTTAACTTGTTATTGATCAACTCAAACATATTACTATTAACTTCATTTTTATAAATTTAAATAAATTAGTATAATCATATTTCTATAAAGAAATTTAATCATTTATACTTTAAACATACTTTTAATCGGTTTATTTATATAACTCATTTTTGAGTATTCTTCCAATATTTCTGCAATAGTTGGTCTTTGCTCAGGTTCTTGATCCCAACATATTTTATAAAGTTTTTCATAATCCTTGGGAGTATTTGGTATAGTTTCTTCACGAACTTTATTACTAATAATAGCACAAATAGTTGCATCATTATGATCTTTAAATGGAGGATGTCCACTAGAAATTTCCCACATTAATACACCATAACTATAAATATCTGAAGGCTTAATATACTGAAAATTGTGATTGCAAAGTATTTGTGGCTCTATATAAGCAGTTTTACCACAAGGTCCGATATGTTTAGTAGAATTGTTTCCAATTTTTGAAATACCAAAATCTGTAATTTTAGCATTATCGTTATGTATAAGTATATTCTTAGAATGCTAAATTAAATTATATAATTGTAAATAAAATTTTAAGATTTATTTTAATAAAAATAGATAAATATAACAAAAAAAAACTTACCAAATCTCTATGCAAAACTTCTTCATTATGCAAGTAATTTAATCCACTGGCAATTTGAAATGCTAATTTTTTCTTATCATACCAAGTTAAATTATTAAAATTATTTTTAAGATAATTCTGAAGATCGCTACCATTAGCATATTGCATCACTAATAAATACTCATTTGTATTTATATCTGCAATTAATAAATTAATAAACAATAATTTTTTAAAAAATAAAGTAAGTAATTATTAATTAATTACCTTGACTAATACCTAAACAATGTATAATTTGATTACAGTAATTTAAATATAAATGAATTTTTAATTCATAAATTAAATCATCTTGCTTATTATGATTTAAATTTGTCAATCTTTTAAATACAATAAAATTACCAGTTTTTAACCAAGTTGCTTTTATAATACTTCCAAAACCTCCTTTTTCAAGTAGCTCTAAATCAGTAAATTCATTAAAGGATATAAATTTAACTTGAATTTTTAAGGTTTTATTAATGAATTCAATTGCATTATTATTTTGATTAATATTATGACTATTAACTTCATATTTTCCAAAACTTCTTTCAGATTTATTTTCATTTTTAATTAATCTTTGATGCCATTTATATGCTTGTTCTAAATCTTTTTTAATTCCTATTCCAGTTATATAACATTTAATTATATTATATTGAGCATTTTTATTTTTATTTTCTGCAGATTTTTGATACCAATTAAATGCCATTTTAAAATCCTTTTTAATTACAATACCATTTTCATAAAAATATCCTAATTTATATTGTGCAATATCATTCTCATTTTCTGCAGACTTTTGATACCAATAAAATGCTTTGTTTAAATCTTTTTTAATCAAAATTCCTTCTTCATAATAAAATTTTAAATTATATTATGCAAATTCATTTTGATTTTCTGCAGATCTTTTAAACCATCTAAATGTTTCATTCATATTTTTTTCAATACCTAAACCATATCGATAACAAATAGCTAAGTTACATTGTGCAATATGATTTTCATTTTTTGCTGATTTATAATACCAATAAAATGCTTTTTTAAAATTTTTTTCTACTTTAATACCTTTTTCATAAAAATATCCTAAATCATTTTGTGCATTATTATAACTTTGCTCAGCTGATTTTACATACCATTCAAATGCTTTATTAATATCTTTTTTAGTAAAAATTCCATAATAATAATAATTGCCTAAATTATATTGTGCAATTTTATTTTCATTTTCTGCAGATTTTTGATACCAATAAAATGCTTTTTCTAAATTTATATCAGTTCCTTCACCATTTTCATAATATAAAGCTAAATTAAGCATTGCATTATTAATTCCATTTTCTGCAGCTTTTTGATACCAATAAAATGCCTTTTCTAAATCAATATCAGTTCCTTCACCATTTTTATAGCATAAAGCTAATTCATTCATTGCATTATTAATTCCATGTTTTGTAGCTTTTTGATACCAATAAAATGCTTTTTTAAAATTTATATCAGTTCCTTTACCATTTTTATAGCATAAAGCTAAATTAATTGTTGCATCAACTATTCCATTTTTTGCAGCAATTTGATACCAATAAAATGCTTTTTCTAAATTTACTTCTGTTCCTTTACCATTTTCATAATATAAAGCTAAATTAAACATTGCATTATTAATTCCATTTATTGCAGCTTTTTGATAACAATAAAATGCTTTTTTAAAGTCAATATCAGTTCCTTTACCATTTTCATAACATAAAGCTAAATTAAACATAGTATTACCAGATCCATTTTCTGCAGCTTTTTGATACCAATAAAATGTCTTTTTTAAATCAATATCAGTTCCTTCACCATTTTTATAGCATAAAGCTAAATTAAGCATTGCATTATTAATTCCATTTTCTGCAGCTTTTTGATACCAATAAAATGCCTTTTCTAAATCAATATCAGTTCCTTCACCATTTTTATAACATAAAGCTAAATTAAACAATGCATTATTATTTCCATTTTCTGCAGCTTTTTAATACCAATAAAATGCCTTTTTTAAATCAATATCAGTTCCTTCACCATTTTTATAGTATAAAGCTAAATTAAACATTGCATTGGTAGATCCATTTTCTGCAGCCATTTGATACCAATAAAATACCTTTTGTAAATCAATATCAGTTCCTTTACCATTTTTATAACATAAAGCCAAATTAAGCATTGCATTATTAATTCTATTTTCTGCAGCTTTTTGATACCAATAGAATGCCTTTTCTAAATCAATATCAGTTCCTTCACCATTTTTATAACATAAAGCTAAATTAAATATTGCATTAGCAGATCCATTTTCTGCAGCTTTATGATACCAATAAAATGCCTTTTCTGAATTAATATCAGTTCCTTTACCATTTTTATAACATATAGCTAAATTAAGCATTGCATCAACTATTCCATTTTCTGCAGCTTTTTGATACCAATAAAATGTTTTTTTTATATCAATATCAGTTCCTTTACCATTTTTATAGTATAAAGTTAAATTAAACATAGCATTGGCAAATCCATTTTCTGCAGCTTTTTGACATCAATAAAATGCCTTTTTTAAATTAATATCAGTTTCTTCACCATTTTTATAGTATAAAGCTAAATAAAACATAGCATGAACAGATCCATTTTCTGCAGCTTTTTGATACCAATAAAATGCCTTTTCTAAATCAATATCAGTTCCTTTACCAATTTCATAATATAAAGCTAAATTATACATTGCATTGTCATCTTCATTTTCGGCAGCTTTTTGATACCAGTAAAATGCCTTTTTTAAATCAATATTAGTTCCTTTACCATTTTCATAACATAAAGCTAAATTACACATAGCATTAATATTTTCATTTTCTGCAGCTATTTTATACCAATAAAATACCTTTGCTAAATTAACTTCTGTTTGTTTACTATGTTTATAGAATAAAGCTAAATTAAATATAGCATTGGCAAATCCATTTTCTGCAGCCTTTTGATACCAATAATATGCTTTTTCTAAATCAATATCAGTTCCTTCACCAATTTCATAACATAAAGCTAATATAAGCATTGCATTATTAATTCCATTTTCTGCAGCTTTTTGATACCAATAAAATGCCTTTTCTAAATCAACATCAATTTCTTCTCCATCTTTATAGCATAAAGCTAATTTAAGCATTACATTATTAATTCCATTTTCTGCAGCCATTTGATACCAATAAAATGCCTTTTGTAAATTAATATCAGTTCCTTTACCATTTTTATAGCATAAAGCTAATTTAAGCATTGCATTATTAATTCCATTTTCTGCAGCTTTTTGATACCAATAAAATGTCTTTTGTAAATCAATATCAGTTCCTTCACCATTTTTATAGTATAAAGCTAAATTAAACATAGCATTGGCAAATCCATTTTCTGCAGCTTTTTGACACCAATAAAATGCCTTTTTTAAATCAACATCAGTTCCTTTACCATGATAATATAAGTTACCAAATTCATATTGAGCGCAAATCTCACCATTTTCTATCGCTTTTTGCATCCAATAAAATGCCAAATCATTATCGATTTTAATTCCAAATCCTTTAATATAACATCTACTCAAGTACACTTGTGCAATAGGATATCTTTCTGCCGTTATTTGAAAGTATAAAATTCCTTCATTATTATGTTCATCTGAGTTAAGCATATTGTAATAAGAAAAAATTCCAAGGAAGAAAATTTTTTTTGATTCATTTTGATTTTCTTTATTAAGCCAGTTAAAAATGTTTTCGGTTGATTGACAAGAAAGAGTAATGCATTTATTAAGAAAATGTTTCGTTTCGGTGAAATTTTTACCTTCATTTTGTAATTCAACCAATATTATGAATAATTTATCAACTAAAATGTTCATATTATCCGTTGAATTAATCATTTCTGATATATAAAAAATTTCGTCATGTTTTGTTTCAGTTTTTGTCATGATTGTATTTAATTTAGAAAATATGTTTTACGAAAAATTAAGGGAATTTTTCATACTATCGAAAATCGGATTATTTCTCCGTTCTGAGGTTACATAATTCCAAAAGTAATGTCACACGCATACATTGGCAGTCTCTTCTACGCAGATCAGTTCCTCGTAGAAATAATTGTGGCGCTTCTGTTAATCCAATTTTAGATAATCGGACATTTTCAGTCATGATTTCCGGTTTTCTATTTTTTACGTTTTCAAAAAAAAAAAAAATACTATATAGGGAATGACAGTGATAGCAATAACTAGGTCATTTGACCTTTGAATGACTTAGTCATTTGATCATACAAGTCATTTACATAATGCGAAGTTAAAGTGCCAGAAATTGGAAATTTTGATTACAAGACCACATGACATAAACTCTTCAAATGCTAGGTCATTTTTCATTTCTTTCAAATGCACCTGCACCTGGTGTAAGTTGCGAAGTTGTACTG